GAACTCTTCCACACCTGCTGGCCTTGTTGGTTCATATGCATAAAGTGAGGGATGTTTGTTAAGTTCTTAAAACATTTATTGAGTGTCCAGTATGTGTCAAGCATTGTGTAATTCTATAATGCATTGCCCAGCCCCAGCTCCCATCAAGCCAGTACTGACTAGTCTACCGTCATTCTTACTATGCAGAGGAGAGGACATGGCAATGCAAGTCTTTCCCATGACACACACTAGGAGGAAAGGTCCTGACCTGAGCACCAGTAGCCTCCCTCTGATTCCTACATGGCCCTGAACAGTTTCTCCATAGTGGCATCAGCTGAGTTCTCTCTAATGTGACTCTTCTCAAGCTGGGTCTCCATGACACCCAGCCCTGCTGTCTTTCCCTTAGTAGATCATTCATGAATGCTTTTGGCCTAGATGTCTGTGTTGAGGGTTCTGGGCCAGGAGCAGCTCTTTTCCAGGCATATAGGATATGCTCTTGTTTCTATATCCATTGTCATATCCATGGACACATGGGCCTCACCCTGACCTGTACTTGATAGACTTGCTGCCGACTCTGTGCCCTACAGCCTCCCATTCTGCTGCTTCTCCTAGCTCTGCCTGGGAGCATCGGGTCGATCTCTCCTGCCCACGACATGTTTTGATGCCATGCTCCCCTTCCCGCCTTCCCGCCTTCCCACCTTCCCGCCTTGCTTCTCTCACCCTCACACTCTCTTTTGATCTTGCAAATCCAGGCCCTTGGAGAAATCAGACAGTATGAAATATGAAAACTGCTTGGGAAGTAATTGAAGAAACACTGCGACTTTTGAAACCCACAGAGATAATGCTCACACCTTCTTACTCACGTTATTTAATTTTTAATGGCAGATTTAATTAATGGAGATCAGGTCTTCTGCCTTCAGATGTGCTCAAGAAGCAGCTGCAGGCGGCGGAGGAGGGGCAGCTGTCTAGAGCAGAGGAAAAGGCATTCCAGAAGTGGGAACCTGAGGACTCTATGGGAAGAAAAGTCTCCAAAACTATCAGCACATGATGGTGGGCACAGATGATGTGCCAACAATGCAGACCCACCAGAGAGCAGTCAGAAAGCTCGAGAGCTTCTGTGGTAACTGTAGCTCCCAGGCCCTGAGTGGTCCAGGACCCTCCAGTGCTGATGACCCCTCCAGGAAGACAGGGCTCCATTGTCCACAGCGGCCAGTCTTAAAAATAGGACTGCCCTGCTATTCCCTCACTTGACAAGACAGGCGAGTACCTGAGGACAGTAATTTCAGCACTCAGGAGGCTGAGATAGGAAGAGCACTATGACTCTCAGTCCAGCCTTGTCTGCATAATGAGTTCCAGATTAGCCTGGGCTACAGAGCAAAACCTTGTTTCAAAAACACAAAACAAACAAAGCCAGGGTTTTATTCACCCCTCACTGGAACTCAGGCTCTGAACCTAAAGTTGAACTGACTGCACCCACTGTGTCTTAGCCCTTCCTGCACTCAATCCCACTGTTTGGCAGTCCCTGCTTCCCTCCTGTACACACACTGCCCTTTGGACACCCACATATTGTTTTCTGTCTTCATGAGGCCTCCTCCTTGTTTGGCTCATATCTCCTCATCCTTTACAGTTCATTAGAAATAAATATAGTCTTTGTCCCAAGACCCTCCCTAACTTCCAGAATGTTCTCCGTAAATATGCTCATTCACACACAGAGCTGCAGGTAAGCACTCATTCTTCTCAGCACTGTTTCCAACAGTAGGAAAATTTATTGGACTAGAGGACATGGTGGGAGCTGCTTGAGTTGAGGTGCAGAGGGCTTACTCACAGAGCCCTCACCCCGACTGTGCTCCCTCACAAGGTACTCCTTCACAGGATGTGCTCGCTCAGTGTGTTCTTTCACAGAGTGCCTACTCACAATGTGCCTCACAGAATGTCCTCTAATTAAAGTACTTGCCCACAAGGTGCTCATAAGTGTACCATAACCTCATCCAGAGGTAGAAAGGAGATGGGTGGGGCTAGGATACAAGCCCTAGCAAGCTTGCCACTCACTATAACCCCTGGCCTGCTTTCACTTTTGAAAATATTGATGTGACAAAAATTGTGCTGTAAAGTTGAGTGCTAGTCTACCATGAACTAGGCCATGTACTCCATTGTTAGAACCACCAGAGGCAGTGAGGGAGCCAGAGAAATGCTTTGGTTGGGTTCACTTCAGGTATCAGCTCCCAAGAAGACAGTCTGATCAAGTTTGCAGGCTGCCCTGGTAGGTACCCCTACAGCTCAAACTACTGGCCTCATGCCCATTTGTAATTGTGACATGGTGGTATCCGAGCACCCCATATGGCCAGGGCACAGGCTCCACTTGACTTGGACCCCATCCCCATACATAGTGTTCTCAGGATGGATAAGTTGGCCAGTCCTCAAGAAGCCCACAATTATGACAAGTTGTAATCTGCAGGACCCTTGTCCTTAGTGAGGAAGGCTGGAGAACCAGGGGCATATGAACAAGTGTACCCTTGTTGTGGCTTAGAGACCTCTCCTGTGCTTCTGGGCCAGGAGTTGTTACAAAGCCCACTGCCATGGTCTGCACAAACAGTCAGGACGGGACCAGTGGGGGATTTTCACTGAGTCATCATGAGGAAAATAGAGGAAGCTACAGAGGCAGGGGAGGGGGGATGACTGTAACCACTTGTTGGCCTGTGTACACTTCCTATGACAAATCCTACTGACCACATGATTGGCTCCATGTCCCTTGGGACAGATGCATATTGACTACCATACAGAGTATAGCTCTAAGCCTCTTCTGCCTGACCACAGTACATGGGCCCCATCTCAGCCTTTGAGTCCTTTCCTTGAGAAGGACTCAGCAGGTGACTGGGCCTGGAAGTCTATGATCTGACCCTGTGAACACATAGAGAAGAAAAGAAACTCAAGAGTTGGGTAGGTTTCTTATGGGGAAGAAAGACCAGCTTCTGCGGAAAGAACACAAGGTTCTTTTTGGCTTCAGAAGCTCTACAGTGCTGTGTGGGTTGGGGGAGATCTGTGCTTTTCTCTCACTCTGCAGTTAAGAAATCAAAGCTTGGAGGAAGTAAGTGGTTTACCCACAGACTGTGGCCAGCACACACCAAAGTTCTGTCATACTGTGGGCCCATTGGCCAGGCCACATCCTCAGGAGACTCTACCAGAATCCCAGTGATCCCAAGTAGATCACAAAAGAACATGTACCAGAGGAATTAGGAGAGACTGATCAGGGTGCCTCTGCCTTTTTCCTCAGCCAGGACAGCAATATCAGGGAATGTCACACCATTCTGAAGCAGGGATGTGAGTGCAAGGACTCCAGAGGAGACGCAGAAAGCTTCCTGAGTGTGACATTAGTATAGATCTTCCACTGCCAGGCTGTGAGGAAGCTGTGTTTATTTCATGCCTGTTGTGTGCTGGAGTTGTTGGCACACCTTAGAGGAGGCTCCCTGGTGTGGAGAGAGGAAACTAGAAGGGATAAGCTACATGATCTGCTCCACCTTCTAGGTCCTGAGCCTCCCTACCAGGAACTTTGTGATCCTAAGCTCTCCTGCAAGAGTCTCCTTTTCATGCTGACCTCCCATCAAGCCTGCCTGAGACTGTAGACAGTGGAAATCTCAGAGAGCAGGTAAATGTGGAGCCTGATTCCAGCCCAGACCTGCGTTCACACCTATAGTCCCCTGGAGGAAGTCCTCTGCCTTAGTTCCCTTCCCTATAGATCTAATTGGGCTCCACACCACAGAATGTGCTCTCCTGGCAACCTGTATTCAGACTGCTCTTTCCCTGTCCATCCAGGGACTAGCTTGTTGCTTTTCTTCAGCAGGTAGGAAGAGCCAGGCCGAGCCTGATAAACGTGCAAGGAGGCACAGACTTACGAGTCCACAGTCCTTTCACTGTCCCATCAGCTTGTTGCAAGGACTAATGAACCTGAAGCTATTTGCTCATCTGAAACACAGAGAGTCCCTTCTCAGAAGTGAATATATCTCTGTGCAAAGGACCTGACGTTGGCACACTGCACAAGCAACTGGCTTCATACCCCACTCAAGACATCTGACCACTTTCCCTACACTTCTGTACAGGGGCCCCTTGACCCACCCACCCTGTCTTAGCCTCCAGGTGTGGCCTTCCCCTCACTCTATGCCTGACCAACTGCATGGGTCTGGGTACTCCCACCTGGAGTGCTACATCCTGAGGCTGAAAGGATGTCAGTTTCAGTCTTTTCTGGGAGCAAATAAAGATGTCAGCTTTAGAGAAAAAGGAAAGTGCTAGACTAGGCCTGTGTGACCAGAAGTGACTGACAAGTTAAGCAACTTACTGAAAATCACAATGTAACATCAGGATCAAACACAGCTGGCATGTTCTTGTTCCTAGGTTTTCCCTTCCAACCTGACTCTGTAGGTATATGTGTAATGGGTAACATTAGGAAGAATAGGTACATACCTTTAGAACCTCCCACAGTGTATCATGGGAAGCAACAGAGCATGCTCCAGTCTAGGAGTCAAGACACTGGGTAGTCCTGACATTGCTCCTCACTGTATGACTTTGGCTTGTCACTTGGCCTCTTTAGGCAGCACGGTCCACTTGGCCAGTAGGGATGGGAATAGAGCAATGTCAGCACCTTCTTCTTTACAAATAATAAATGTTTCAGGCTTTGCAGACCATGCAGGCTCCACCACAGCCATTCCACTGATCCTGCAGCATACAAGCAGCTGGAGACATGGGTGTGTGTAGCCATGAAACTTTATTTACAAGCAAGGTGGCTAGCAGATTTGGCCTGTAGCCTACAGCTTGCCACTCCCTGAACTAAAAGTTATTATGGTTTGCCTTCAGCAGTCACTTTTCTGGGATTCCATCACAGTGATCAGCCTGCTGTGGGAACTAGGACCTAGGCTGTGCTGATACCAGTTAAGATATTCGCATCTGTCTAGTTCTAGTGGTTGTGTCCCACAAGCTTCTAGAAGGAGGTGTTAACCTTTGGTAACCAGTTTTGTGTTTTCTCTTTGTAGAATGCTGAGCTGTATAAACTGTCTTCCCAACAATTCCATGAGGCGGCTTCAAAAGCAGAGAGCACAATAAAGTAAGAATCTGCTTATTGTTCTTTGTAAACTTGCCTGCATTTGTAGAAATCCCCATGTGTGGCTTGAAACCTGCTGCCACCTGCCTGATGGCAAATTTCTCTAATAACAAGACAGCCATCTGTTCATGAGCCCCCTCAGTTGGGCTGAAGGTAGCCATTGGCCATCAGTAATTACCCAGATTAGCACACAGCTCTCCTCAGCTCCTTGGTGTGTTGCAGTGGGCTGCAGCCACTGCCTTTTTCTGAAGCAGCAGCTGCTTTGTTATCTTGCTAGGTGAGGGGCAGTGAACAGGTTCCAAGGGATCTGGAGTTCAGCCCTGGCCCTTTGCTTTATGAGGAGTGGGGAATGGGGTGAGAGTGTAAGCATGTCCCCTGTCGGGGCCTCCTGCTCCTGCTGAACACACAGTGCTCCTCATGCTCTGGACACTCATGCTGTGCTCCCAAATGAAAAAGGCTCAGAGGGGCCAGAGACTCATGTGGCAGTACTTAGCCCCATCTGCCATGCTCCTGTGCTGCTGTCCATGAACACTGAATCAGGTTGTCAGAAGCAGGGAGGCGTGGGCTTTTTCATGAATCATTTCGGGGTGTAGATCCCTGGGAAAGGAAAACCTTAAGTGTGAAGATGGTCTGTGTGCCAGGAGACTGGGATTCTCTGATGAACTATCAACCCCTTCTGCTCCCTTGGCAGTCTCTCCCAGCAAGTTAGGTGAGTCACCAGAAAAGCCTATCATGGTACAAAATGGTTGGATCTGGCACCATGAGAAGAAGGTGTCAAAGGAGGGTGCATAGCTAAGAGGTGACAAAGTACTTGTGAAAGAAAATGCTGTAGATAATTGTGAACCATGCAGAGAGCCAGGAGAATAGGGTAGAACTGATGTGCAGTCAGAACAGACCTGAAGGTATGTGGGGTGGCATAAGGAACAGGCTTCCTTTTGTTCCCACGTTGTGAAACACTTGTAGCTAGGGGATGCTGATAAGCAGCACCAAGGAAGGAACAGAAAACAACAGTCTTGAAACTTAAGTCCTAGAAAGACAATGGTAGTCTACAGTGTGGGAGGGCTCCCATAAGGTGGAAGAAGACAGGAAAGGGATGGATACACAGCCCTGGAGATGTTGCCCTTTCCTACCATCCCCATGAGCCAGAATATTACATGTCTCGTGAATGACAGAGGACATTTAGGTGTGTCATCTGTCTGCAGGTGTCCTTGCCTTCATGGAGGGACAACAGGACCTATTTCATAGATTTCCTGAGCCTTAGCTTCATGATTGTGAAAGCCTCATGTCAGATTGGGAAGGAGGATGGGGAGCCAGGTGACAACCACTGTGGCAGTGCAACCCCTGACCATATGAGGGGCCTCTCCATTGGCAGGAAAGTAAAGCTGCTTCACCCTTAAATACCTGGTGCCCTGCCACCTGCCTTTGTGAGCCTGACTTCATTGTCACTGACCACCTTTGCATCCTCTTGACCTCTGAAGACAAGGTAGAAATGGACCAATATGGTTTTTATGAGGTGAAAGAATGGTCTTGTGTGTAGCACGCCTGGATGGCCACTGTTTCTTGCTGAGCCTATATTGAATAGTAGTGCTTTGCCCACCTTCAGTTTGGTTCTCTAGTATGCTATTACTGCTGCTAGTGTGCACACGGCTAGAAGGATCTGGAAAAGGCATCAAAGACCCTCTGCTGGAGATCACAGTTGATTGGAATAGTTTGTATCTTACATGTCACACCCACCCAAAGTCACCAGAATTACAGACATGGTCCCCAGCCATGGTGCTGCTGTGAGATGGTAAAGCCATTAGAAGACACCGTCTAAAAAGGGAGTCAGACCATTAGAGGCATAGCCTTGAAGGTCATATTGGCCTTCATCTCCTGCTCCTTGCTTTCCAGCTGCTGTGAGGTAAGCAGGCCTCCCCTACCACAAGTTCCCTGAATCATGTCTTGTGCTGCCACAGGCCCAAAGCTTCAGTATCAAGTGACCATATTCTAAAGCTTCTGAATCCATAAGTCAAGTAGACATGTCCTTTTCCCTCTGTTAAGTGGATCTGACTTACACAGTGGATGTGTAAGAGGACTGGGCCTAAAGCATACTCAGACTGTTTTAGAGCTCTGTCTTACATCTTTGTCTCTGCTGTCTTTCTTTCTTTAAAGATCTATTTTATTATTTTTAATATGGGTATGTCATACACATGCTCATACATAGACATATTACACAAAAACCATATTAAAAATAATAAATGCTTTTAGAAGAGGAGTGCTAGAGAGATGTCTTAGTGGTTAAGAGCTGACTGCTCACCCGTGTTCAATTCTCAGCACCCACATGGCAGCTTACAGCCTTCTGTAACTCTGATTCTGGGGGATCTGGCATCCTCATACAGACATACATGTAGGCAAAGCACCAATGTACATAAGAAATAAAAATGTGTGTGTGTGTCTGTCTGTCTGTGTATGAAATGACTGTTAGTCACCCCACATGGGTGCCAGGAACCAAACTCAGGTCCTCTTCAAGAACATGATCTTAACCTTTGAACATCTCTCTGGCCCCTCTACTCTTTCTAAGAACTCTCTGAACCTGGAGTAGGTGGTTGGGGCCTTAGGCTACTAGGCCTGACAGACTGACTCAGACCTCAGCCCTGCACTTACTAGCAAGTCACTCCAATCAGTGAGGTCTCCATTTCCTCGTCTCCAAATAGGACACACTTTGTACTAGGCTACATGGTGGCACACAGACTCCATACAGAAGGGAAGCCTAGGATAGTGTCAGCTGCTGATGGTGGTAGCAGCATGGGTTTTGGCCAGAGGCTGAGTCAGCAGTCTTCAGGAACCCAGCTGGATCTCTGAGAGATGATCTGGTCATAAGTATTGAGTCCTTGTCAGTGGGATCAGTGTTCATGTGAAAGGGATGCTAGGAAGATGCCTTGTCCTTCCCATCCTGAGAAGACACAGAGAGAAGGCACTGCCCAGGAAGCAGGGCTATGGGCCTTAGTACCCAGGAGCTGCCGGCCCTTGGGCCACATGGGTATCCAGCCTTTAGGACTGTGTTCAAGAAATGGATGTTCTGCCTGAACCATCTGTGAGTCTCAGCTCCACCAGTACTAAGAGATTTTGATAATGGCAGCCATTGAGTCACTTCACAGCACTTGCTTGGTAGAGAAAGATTTGATGAATAGAGTTTCCAGAACACTGTCTTTTCCCTCATGTAGTAAACAGTGCAAAGTTAGAAAGTATTTTCCTTAAATATCAAAGGAAAAAATGTTTGTGAGATTTTTCGGATTAGCAAATGATTGCAAATTGCATTGTAAATGTCACAGAAATGAATGCCAGCTGCTAGTGGCAGAAATGGTGGGAGTTTCCTTCCAAGACAGTGGAGCATCGCTAACAGCTCTGAGTAAACCAAATGATTACTTAGATGGTAAACTCTGTCCATGTTTTCGTTCATTCATTTACCACGTGTGGCATGGCTCCTATTCTTCATAGTATGCTAGAACCAAGGTTCTAGCTAGGAACAGGACAGCTTCTTTCTCTGCCAGGAAAAGCCTAGTGACATTTGAGATATGAAAAACAGTTTCTTAAACTGAATTGCAGAGAAAGCAATTTCCCAACAGATGTTCTCAGTGGTCTAATAGTCCTGTGAGTTACGGTGCACAGGTTAGAAGTATCCAGCCGAGGAACCTGGCCTAGGCTGCATTTGCAGAGGAAATGACATTTGCACTGACTCCTATGAGATGAAGAGCTGCCAGAGGAAGGAAGGGGCAGCTAGTCTCAGCATGTGCAAAAGCCCTGAGGCAAGAAGGCTTGTAGTTCACTTGGGGAACTAAAGGATGCCCCGCATAGCCAGAGTGATGAGCAGGAAGGGAATGTCGATGAAGTCCCAAGAAGTAAGCAGAGGCTGCGCTGCCGTCACATGGCCTATTTTAGTTTTGTTGTTAAGAATGCAGAGTATATCCATGTGCTATTTAGCAACTCCTCAAACAACCTTGGACCACATGGGCAGTAGTGCAGAGGAGCACAGTGGGGCTGAACACCTAACTTCTACAGCATTGCACATCCGTGCACACAGACCTCCGAGCAGCCAGTCTTGTGAGATAACAGCACAGGCATCTGTGTACAGCACACCATGCTTGGTGATCACAAGTGGTGGTGCTGCTGGTTTAGTGCTTGGCATACAAGGCAACTGTTGGTCATCATTTTAATGTGTGCTCATTCTACTTTACAAAGGAAAAATCAGCCGTAAGGTAGCATGCTCTATGACTTGGACAGTGGCTGCTGCCATCTCATAGATGCTGTGTCTCAGTTGCATCAAAGGGCTACACCAAGTGATTAACACATGTCATCTAGGTTTGCATCGTGTGATTTGGCTGACTTAAGTGTTAAAAGGCTGCTCTACTACTGTTTGTTCACATGATGTTGCTAACAACACATTTGTACAGAACAGCTCACTGTGGATAAGCAGTGAATGAGTTTACCTCACCCAGCTTTATTTCCTTTCTTTGATCTGTGGTCATGCCTGTAAATTTTCTCTTGAACATACAGCTTTGCTACAGCATTTAAGTTCTGAGCTGATGTATTTTCATTACAATTTAATTCAATTTTTTAAATATTTAATTCTGATTTCTTCTCTTGAAGAAATGTATTGATGATTTTCCAAACATTGGAGGATTTTCTACTTTTGGTATGATTGCTCTCTAGTTTAATTTGCTAATTAGTGACTTGAGAACAGGAGAATTAAGTTGCTTGGAAGCCTGATTTATGATCCAGTATATGGTCTGTTTTGGTAGCCCTCCATGGTTACTCTTCACTGGATTTGAAGTCACCTGGAAGACACCTCTGTGTATTTTCTTTGAGTGGAGGTCTACCTGAAGAGGGAAGACTTGCCTAAATGTGGATAACACCATCACCATGGATAGGATGGGGAAAGGGGGAAATGAATCAAGTATTGAATTCATCTCCCTGATTCTTATTCCTGCAACCATTTGTTCCTCTGGGGAAGAATTCTTGATTCC